ATAAGTTTTGGGTGGCTAGGATTTTCTAGTCTAAGGATTGGGTTTTGTTTTTGAGTATTGGCAATTGTTTTGGATCTTTAGGCCATATTAAACGTTTAACTCCTGGGCGCGGAGCATTTCTCCATCTCTTATTCAGCGAGCGTGAAAGGGACTGTCGCGAATAGAAACACCATTTAATGGAAAAAATATCACGTCTAGCCGAAACTAGCAAAACAACATGAAAAAAACTCTTCTTCCAAATTCGGTGAAGTTTGTTAAGGCTCGACCAAATGCACGCAATATTTGGATTATTGCAAGATTGTCGCGTATAACATGTTGAACACGTTTGGCCACTCTGTTGCCTTCAGTCAAACATATTGATTGCAACAGGGAACGTGTGCAATAGGACGCGTGCAACATGTGTTCGCAACAATCTTGTTGTGTTGAAACCTCATGTTCCATACATTACTTTATTTTAAACACTCAAGTCGATTAATTGTTTCAATTTTTTAAAAATCAGATAATGCGGCAAAAAACGGTCAGAGCCAGATTTCAATGATGGCACGTTCCATGTCCACAAGGGTACTTTATCCATGTGGTCATCAGTGTTTAAAATGATGTTCTCCTCAAAGTTCTGAGAAAAATCAGCAAGTGAAATTCCTCTTCCTGGAAAAATGCAACTGAAACTGACAAAGCAGATGTTACTTGTCATATACCCAGCATCTAAACCAATCAGTGAAAACAACTGCTACTTTCTCCTTTCCTTGGCCAGAGAATATCAGACGGAACAACTTACAGAGCGCTACCGCGGTGAAAAGTATCTGTTACAGAGAAAGAAAACCCCTCATCAAGCCATTGATTTTCTGGTTTTAGCTAATGAGTTTAACATGGAAGATTTGTGTAAGCAGTGCGTTGAAATTGCCAAGCACATCTCAATAACTGAACTGCGACGTCAAGAAAAGTATGCTTTGATTCCACCAGAAAATGGCAAGCAATTAGCTGAAAGGCGAGTGGAATTACTGGAAAACAAAATATTGAGCAGTGAACAACGGGTAAACGCAGTGAAAAAAGAGGTTAAGGATGTGTGTGAGTGGGGAGTAAGGGAGATTGCACGGGTTTTGTATCAAAAAATCCTCTGAGGTTAGCCAATCGCCACCTTTACTTTACGGGAAAATCCAGAGGTTAATGTTATGCTGCAGTTGTTACAACAGCGTCTCAGAAATATGTCAACTATTTGACACAGTTTAGTTACATCATTCTATTCATTTGTAAGAACTATATTGTTTATTGTCGAAAAAATAGAAAAGAGAGAGGTTAAATTATTGTGTGTTCTTGGCAAAGAGCGTGAAAGACTTTGACTAAGACTTGTTTGGGAGCAAAAGACGTCCTATTGCGTTCACGCAACACAGACACGACTGAATTAAGATGTTGTTCTTACAAAAAATGGAATGAGTCATAAACTTATATTAGTCAAATAGACATATTTGTCGAAAAAAAGTGTAAAAAAGTATTTAAAGTTTACTAAAAAAAATTAAGATGTACTGAACATTTTTTTGATCATTTTCACTGTAAACACTACTTAAAAAACCGAAAGTGATGTTGTACCTTAGGCTCGAATAAAGTCTGAGCAAAGTTCAAAATCTTTTGAATTGACGAAAATATCTTACAACTAGCTTATATTTTAATAGAACCCGAATTTTATCAGTAAACCTCCTAGAAAATTCGAAATTATTTTTTCAGCTGTTTACGTTTTGATGGTGGACCGACAATCGGGACAATCGGGCGTAAGAATGGCCAGAATCCCCCCCCCAACTTTCGTGCAGGTATTTCTTGCTGTTCAATTTGCACCAGTTTCCACCATGTTGTAACCAGAACCAAACTCTGACCCTTACCGACAAGTCAATGACAACAGACAATTTTTGCGGAAAGCCGTTTGTACGTTTATTGACTGAATTAAATTTTTGTCAAACGTTCCACAATTAATGTTCAGTGTGACCTCATATATCTAAGCGTCCAATCCGGCAGTTTGTTTGTTGTCGCTCAAATGAGAGGGCTCAGTGCCTGGCAACAAACGCAGAGAATGCCTTAGCCTTTTTCCAAACATTTCCACTTCCTCCCCAGCCCATGTGAAGGTACCACTCACGCCTGTAAATGTAAAACCACTGGGTACAATGCCAACCAAAGAACCACCAGCAGATTCGCCACTTCTTATACCTGGAAAATAGAAACAAACTTTAGCAGAGCTCCTGGATGGATGTAAGGATGATAACTATCACTTACATTCGGGAGGCAATCAAAGCAGAAAATAACTCAGTATAACTTACCGATCGTTTTCTCGCCAAGACCCACCTAACAAGAGTCTGAGCAAAAGGACCGCATGATAAAACGAACAATACGCCATGCGCTACAGCGCTGCCCTTGATAGAACATCCCAAAGGGACACCATTATGATGACCGCCACATAACCATCGCAGCAATTATGTTTACAGCTTTGCTAAACTGAGATAGACAGTACGGTCGGTCCAGCCAAGGCTAACTGTCAAATTTTCATTTCTAATGTCAACATGCTATCAAAAAGAAGCCAAATTTTATTTTTTTCTTATTTACTTGCCTGGCTTTCTAGGCTTTGCTAACTTCCTCAAACAATATTGGCCCACAAAATACCGAAATGTGATTTGCATTTTTCCGTCACTAGACTGTTCACAGCACTCTACTTTCTCGTACTTTTATTCGATCGTTGAACGCGTGGAAAGAATCGCGAGAGAACTGGGCGCCAGCACAAAACGCTCGCTTTTTCTTTCGCGTGTAAACAGACTATGAACAGTCTATTCCGTCACCTTGTACTCCAGCATTGCATTATCTTACCTTGATCGGTATCTTGTAGCAACTGCATAATGCTGTGATGATCCGACCCAGATTCCAACGATGGCAGGATATCTGTTCTTGACAGCATTAATGGCGGAGTTCCGTATCCAGGAACGATAGATTCCCGGGAGTGTGGACCACCAGCTGGTGTAGGAGGAAAGGCTTCCTCCTTGGGGATATTGCCGAGTAAGGTACCAGTTCCTCAGCTTGCTGTCAGTCATATCCCAGTGAGTGGTCGCTCCGCCACCGAACAAACAGAATGTGTCAACTTTAGCACGTATGTCTTCAACGTAATAACGGGGCTGAATGATAACGAGAATTAGGTTCCATTAACAATTGCAGTACTAATTGCGTTTTCTTGAAATTTGGGCCAAAATACCAGGCAGCACATAAATAAACGACTTCAAATTAAGGTTCAGCTGAAAATCGAGCCCATCTCGTGCGGTTTGTTTGCGAAGGTTTTTGGAGGTAGCTTATTTAACTAGAAACTGCAAGATACAAAGTGAAACAGCAGTCATATCAATGACGGATTAACTTACAGTGTACCATGGCGGCTGCCAAGACGCGCTTCCACTGACGCCGTGGTAACCTTGATAAAGTTTCTGATTGTACCCGTATGACGATGAAATGTGAGCCAGCCTAAATGTAAAAACCAACAACCGTTTATCACCTTTTAACTTACAATTGATTAATCGATATTAATCGATATATCATGTTACTTGAGTTAAAAAGAGTAACGTGATTTATACATGGCTTGCATGTAAAGCTATAAACCTTTGAAGCTGTAAGCATAAACAAGACAAATATATGTCATACATGCAAACCTAACTTATATCAAAACTGGCAGGAGGCTACCATTTGGCTATTTTACTATTTGGCTATTATCGCTGTGAAGCTGGGAGCACCGAACTCAGAGAGCCGAATCGAACACTTGACCAGCAACAGGCAGAAAGGGGCAATTGAACTCGAAACTAGCAACCGAATCTCTTTTATCAGGTTTGACAGAACAAACTCATGTATCCAGGATTAATAATGTCTCAGCTTTTGTAAACAAACGGTGGAAGGCAAGTGTCTAATCTACAACTGAACCTTAAACAGTTTTTTTCCCTAAAATATTTAAAAATAATGTTTAACCAAAGTAGTGATTCAGGGACAATTTATTTATTTGTTATTTCCAGTTATTTCAAATAACTGGTTGACGCTTATCTAATCTGAGATAAACGTTCTCCTTGTTTGAACAACATGGTCCGAAGCTAGAGATTCTTTCTGATTCTTGATTGTTTGGTAATCATTGTAGTACGAGGTTCCTACACCAGCCTGAAATAGAAAAAATTAAATCCTGTATCATGGTTTGTACCTGTCATAGTAAGCAAATATTTGAGCCCAGGCCACTGGACCGCATCCACTGTAACATCCACAGCACCGATGTTGGTTGTAGTTAGGAAATAGGTGTGGATGATGAATACTCCAGTAACTCCATGAGCTCCAGCGCTTTGTTCGGCTTGTGAAATTCGTCTCTATACCAAACCTTTTTTCCATCATGATCCCATCACTGGTCGTCAACTGCACACGAAAACTAATATCTGTATTCATAAGGATTTTCTGAACTGTGCTTTTGTCATCATGGACAGATAACTCAAAGAACTTGATACCATTCCGAGCGGATAGAAATAAACGCCTGTTTACATACGTCAAGTCTCTGCCGCTGCAAACTAATTAAAAAAAAAGAGACACTGTTATCAAGAAAGTTTGTAAGAGACAAGACCAAGTGATCTGAATTATAAAGGCAGAACAATATGCCGACAAGGAGGAGGTAGAGTTTTATGAAGGCCAGCCGAGAACTAGGAAAAGGGCCAGAATAACGAGATGGTTGCATCTAGTCGCGTCACGTGCTGAAGAGCACTTGTATTTTTATGACTGACTGAAATTGTGTATTGCAGTATTACCTCACCAGCGAAACTACACCTTGCTTTTGAAGACAAGTCAAGTAGCCTGTGCACCTGTGGTCACAGGCAAACCAAGTTTATATGAATGCTACATCGAGTCTACATCTTAAACGAGATCACAGTGGTCACTGGGTCACAGAGCGGAGTCCCAAACTCATAAAATCTTTAAAACTGCTATGGTAGGCCGGGCATCTCGGTATTACAAACAGTTCAAATTAATTCTGCCACAGACTTCTGACTCACTTCTGGCAGTCGAGAAAACCGCACGCTTCCAGGAAAATGTCAGTAACCTGAGGACGAGCGGGTTTGAGAAATCATCCTGTGTTGTGATGGACTTTACAGTAACTTAAATATTCATCTAATTTATTTCACTAGTCACAGCCCGTTCAAGCGGTGCGCAATTTAAAGAATTGCATTAAGAAACTTAGATTACGAGAAAAAAAACCAAAAAAAAAACCAGAGAATCCAACGTTGACACCATTCTTTGCCTTACCGTTCACTAGAACTGCACAAAGTTTCTTTTGCCAGTCAGCGGCAGTCAAGTTACTTTTCATTCCACTAGTCCCGGTGAAAAATATTCTTGGCGTACTCTTGGAGTTGTAGAATCCTAGAGATATTCTGTGTTTGGAACCTGATTCAAGAGCCTCTTCACCATATCGCACCTGCTTCTGTACGCTTTGAACTTGTCTTAAACTCCCCCATTCACCCTCCTCGCCCACCTCATAAGAAAGCTCCCGCCATTCTTTGTTGAAGTCCGGCAGGCTTGCCTTTACCATTGCAGCCAAGCTTTTCCACTGCTTTGTATCAATCTGCGTTATACGATGAAATATACTGTCATAACCATACCGTAAAAACCCTAATTAAAGTAACGACCTTCGTTACTCTCGAGGAGCAAAAAAAGTTATAAACTGAAAAGTTGGTGCGACTGAACTCTTTTAACGAGATAAAAAGACGGATATTCATAAAAAAAAAAAAAA